TGTTGCCCTAGCTAGAGTGTAGTGGTGTCATCATAGGTCACTGCAACCTCAAACTCCTGGGCTCAAGCGATCCTCTTGCCTTAGCCTTCTTAGTAGCTGGGACTACAGGTGTGCACCACCACACCCATCTAATTTTTTCTGTTTTTTGTAGAGACTGTTGCTCAGGCTGCTAGCTGGGAGTACAGGTGCATGCCACCACGCCTGGCTAATTTTTCTATTTTTTGTAGGGAAGAGGGTCTCACTTTGTTGCTCAGACTGGTCTCAAACTCCTGGCCTCAAGTGATCCTCCCACCTTGGCCTCCCAAACTGCTAGGATTATAGGCATAATACACTAAGCCTGGCATGATTCATTTTTTTAAAATTTCTGAATGAGGAGTTTGAGAAGCCCTTTGTGTAGTCAGGAAGCTCAACTTAAACATGTAATGCAGGATTATGAAGAAGGTACTGTGAATAATTATAAGAACAGTGAAATCTAGATAAATATTAAGATTCAGTTCAGAGCCTAAAAGCATCACACTTTGTGTCTTCTTTAAAGTTCTGGTTATAAGATTAATGTTAGAGAACACCTTAGAGATGATGGGATTAATCCTGTCATTTTACAGATGAGAAAACCAAGTTACAAAAAGGGAAAAGATTTACCCAAAGTAACAGAACAAGTTATAGCAAAACTATATTTATAGTTCTTTCCATTCTTCTACTATTGGCCTTGTTTCTTTTAGGCAATATTTTGATTTCTAAATAATTTTAATATTTTAGCTGTTTTGAGTAAGGCTTCAACCTGTTTTGCTGATGAACATTTAATAGTTAAACCATTTAGATTCCCATATGGTAATGTGTAAAATTTGACTGTGCTTTTTCTGATGGAGTTACATATTATGTCTTACAGTTTGGGAAAGGAAAAATGAGCCTGGTGATTTTATATTCTTTGCTGCCTATGTGCTATCAACAGATTACTGGGGAAACCTCAATTTTTTAAATGACATATTCAGATAGTTTCTTGATTAACTTCACAAAATTAAAAGACATAATTGTTATTCTTCCTTGTCTTGGTTTTTAGTAATTTAATGGAGATCACATAGCAATTTGATTATTTTGATTGTAGACTAATTTCTCTGTTTTTTTATACACATATTTCTTCTCTTTTCAGGGAATTTGACACCTCACTTGCAGAATATTTTTTCTACGAGTCCCATTTTTGCTGGGGTGGTCCTTCCTCAAGTTCAACATCCCAAAAATGCAAGAAAAAAATACCCAAAGCTTAATGGATTGTTGGCAGATATAGTTCATGTATGTTAAGAGATTAAGAACTTATATCTGAGAAATTTGCATTAATTATAATACAGTTTTAAATGATTAGTGGAATTCCAAAAGGATTCCTAAAGTAATGTTATCTGTAGAAAGTTATGTCTTTAATACAGAGGAATTAAAATTCATAGACCATCAGAACTAAAGGCCCCCTAAGATAATCATATCCACTGTTTTTAGTTTATCTCAATCTTAATGATAATTAGAGATAAACTGGAAAAATTCTAAGGACTTTCCATGTTTATCACCACTGTTTACATTTAGTCTAATCAGGTTAGGGTTCTATTCTTTGTACTGTGGTATCCTGCTAGTTTGGATATTTGACCCTCCAAGCCTCATGTTGAAATCTGATCCCCAGTGTTGGAGGTGGGGCCTAACGGGGTGTTTGGGTCATGGAGGTGGATCCCTGGTGAATGGCTGGTGCAGTCCTCACAATGAGGAGTGGAGTGAGGTTTCACTCTGTTAGTTGCAGTGAGAGTTCCTCCCCCACCCAGAGCAGAGAGCGGCACATCCCCACTCTCTCTTTTGCTTTTGCTGTCACCATGTGATCCCTGTCCTCTGCTCCCCTTTGCTTTCTGTGATGACTAGAAGCAGCCTGTGG